TAAACTCTGAAATTAAATATCTTTTTCTAATTATAGAAAGAAGTCAATTAAGAGAACTCACAGATATAACAAAGCAGCTAAGAAATTACTACTCTTTTAACAGAATTTTGAGCAACTATTTCAATCTATTACCTCCAAAAAAAACTATTACTAGCAGCTTACCAAAATTTTTAACCCATGTATAGACTTTACTTTCTTTTAGATCTACAAAATTTAGATACAGATATTAAAGAAACAATTCAAATATTATGAGAAAATTATTTTTTTGAAAGACTACCTAATGACTACTTTCTAGCAAAGCCACACTCACCTAAAAAAACTAGCAAAATCAAAACAACCAATAACTTTATATATCTAATAACTAAAAAACTATAAGCAAAAAAGTTTATCTAACAAATTAGACCATAGTATAAGTTTTTACTTTTTCTACTACTCCATATTATGACAGTAAACTCTACAGACAAACCTGACCTACCAGAAAACCTGCAACAAATAACAAAATATAACTTAACCTTACCAATAACAACATCTAAAACACTTGTGAAAACAGCAAGACTACTGAAAGAAACCTACTATTTCTATAGAATTTCAACAACTTGGATCCAAATAGACCAACAAGTAAACCAATTACAATCAAATAAAACAACAAATGATAAACAAAACAAACACAATATTCCTCAAACTTTAACAGAACTGCAAGAAGAACTAGAAAAAATTACAGACTCAATATATATCAATATACCTATAAGCCAACAAGAAGACATTACAAACACTTTGATAACTTTATATTAATACTTTAATATTGAAACAATACCTGACTATCTACTATAACTATCACCACTTCCAGAATCAAAATAAGACAACTTTATATAAATTAAATATCAATTGATTTAAATATAAACAATATGATCAAAACATCCAAACAATTTTTAACAAATAACAACTTACTAAACAATATAAAAATCATAATATATAATATTTAAGGTGCAAATAACAAATTCAAGATGCAAATATGGTTAGAATATTGCTACAAAAATAATTATAATATAGTTAGCATAACTGAAACAAAGCTTACTAAATTAATACACACTAGATTTAAGCTACTAAACCTCTATTACAACATATATACATCAAATTGTACTAGCAAAATTGCAAAAGAGCAAGAATCAAGCATAGGCACAGAATAGCAATATCTAAATTTTTTTAGCTATATATATACAACATCATAATACTAAAAGAGATAGCAATTGCAATTGATTTTTTTTTTTACAAAGCCAAAAAACAAGAGTTATATCTGTTTATCTATCATCTAATAACAAAACACTAAGCAACAACATGCAGTAAAAAATTACTAAATGAGTTATATATAGCTATGCACATAACTACAATATTATCGTTTTTGGAGATTTTAACTTTGATAGATGAAAATGAAAAGATCAACCTACATTGCAACTATTCATGATAATAAAATCTTATAGAATGAACAGCCTATTAGACTACTTCAACATTAACCTATCTATTTAAACAAGAGAACCTTTACACAGCCAGATTAATGATATATAGATTTCTAATACATTAATGCCAATATAGACAGACCAGAAATAATTAGTGCTGAACTGATAACAGATAGCAACTATATTATAATTATAACAACATGGCAAACAAACATAAACATTAAAAATATAGATCTAAAACAAAGAAAAGAACAATCTTTTTATACAACAAAATGACAGTAGATGATTAGACAAACTTTAAAAGTGATATTAATAAGTATATAAAAAAGCAAAAAAATAAACTTGATTAAACTGAACAAAAGCTAAAACATACTAAATCAAGCAATCAAACAGGCAGCCAATAACAACATACCTAAATCTAAAACAAGTCCCAAATTACATTATATATTTTCTAAAAAAGCTACAAAACTTTATGCTGCTCTGCAAAAAATTAATCAAATTATAACATATTTAAAAAAAAATGACCAAAACATAGTTTCAATAACAACTCAATAAATTAATGACAATATTGATAAAATTAATAATAATTATATAGGAATACAATTACCAAAGCTTAAGAGATATGTCATTTATCACCTGATTTTTTAGGGGGTAGAAGGGTTTAACCAAAAAAATCAGGTTACACATATATATTATATATTATATATAAAGTAAATATGAGTATTGTAGTAGATAAGGGTATCGTGATGGATCTATTATAACTCATGATCTATCAATTCAAATCAAATGATTTTTATAATGTAAAATTCATTTGGTTTTGATCACTGAATTATGAGACATTGGTCCCAAATGTTGTAAATTAATTTTTTTTAAAAAATTAATATTACATTCGGACACCAATATCTTGTGATATAGTGATCGAAATCAAATTATTTTTATATCATTCAAATCATCTTGATGAGACAGATTGAATAGTATAAAAATCATCTGATTTGGACAGATAGACCACAAGTTATAATGATAGCAGATCTGCCACAATACCCTTATCAACTACAATACCCTCTTCTGATTTCATGTAGTATATAACTCTCGACCCTGTGGTTCAAATTGGATGCTATTGGTACTATTCGATTCGTCTTGATGAGACAAATCGAATAGTACCCACAATACTATACTTACCTTATATAAGGAAGGGTCGGTACATCTAATTACTCAGTTTCTTATTTATACACTTTAAAGTACTTTTGAAAATGCATGGTTCATAAATAGTCTCGCTTCTAACTTACTTTATTTAGAAGACAAAATTTACCAACGTCTATTGGATCGTGCGAAATTACACTATAGAATAAAGGTAACTGGAACTGTTTTCATCTAAAACTACTTTAATATGTTAGATTCAAATAAACTTTTATTGCTAACTGCTTAAGTTGAATAGGTCCAAGCTCTTTCATAATATACATTCTGGGGTTTAATATTTAAGTTTTGGCAGTTTTTTAATGTATATGGACTAATACAACTGTAAATTAGAGTTTAGTTTATATTTTGTAGATTCTTTAATGAGTTAGAGTTTATTAGCAATAAATATTACATTTATTTACTTTACGTATATCTATCTATTCTCTATGTGATAAATTTTTCTGTATATATTTATTAATTTGTAAGCTTCTTTATGTAGAGTTTTTTTTCGTTTTCTAATAGCACTAGAATGATGAATTTTTTTACTATCATGGGAAATCACGAGTAGATTTACAAAAATTAACCAAGCAGATTCGTATAATATGTATATATTTTATCGAATTAACTTTAAGGTTAGGGTCATCATAGGTTGGGGTTGGTTGGATGGCACGTGATTCTGCTCTGCTTTAGCTAGCCTCCTATCGAGGAGAGACTGTTGAAAGCATGAACTTCAGATTACTTACGAAGATCTTCGAACCAACCAAAATCATAAATTTTTACAAGTAAAAAATACAAAAAAGTTGAAAACAAAGCAAAACGAGGTAAAAATCAAGTTAAATATTGAATATTTAAGTTAAAAAACAAATATCCTAAACTTTGTTGTAGTATATAAGCATGTTTTTTTTTATTAATTCATCAATATATTGACTAATTAATTAAATTCTATCTATATGCCATAATAAAATTAATAATCTTTGATACAATTTGCTCTATACCTAATCAAAACCCAAGTATCTATGTGATCAATACATTCTGCTATTTATTAGAAACATTTACAATCTTGGTATGCAAGTATATATAAATTCATATAAATTCTTAAACAATGTAAAAAAAAAAAATTATATAGTTAGTTATATCTGTTATTATTAACTAATTAAAAAATTTCTATATGTGTATATAATAATAATTAAATAAACATATACTTGGACCTTTATCTTTGTTGAATCGTTGCTTCTTAGTTTTACTCCCCTTTCCCTTCATTTAGTATATAAAATTTAGATATCTTGGTGGTTTTATACTTTAGCTATATATCTTGTATATGTAACTTTGCTAAGACATAGCAATACAATGGTGTTGGATTCACAGAGATTCAAGAAATATGTTGTAGTGCAGTTCTAATACTTCAACTTCGCTTAAAAGATAGGCGAGATGTCTTGTAAAATGTATTAATCTATTGTGTAACATCATTTCCTTATATGGGGTATGGCCTCTTCATACCTACCCTCCTTAGGATGTGTAACCTGACTCTTACCCTATACTTTCTCCTCAGTACGTATAACCTGACTCTTATTCTATACCCCCTCATAAGAGAAAAATCAAATCAATTGCCTGAGTAATTTATTTATACATTTTAAAGTACTTTTTGATAATGTAACATTTCACTAATGAAAATTGCCACAAAAGCCATTTCTAACTTTAAATGAACATTAATATTCATTAGACAAAATAATCTCAAATAATCCTAATCCCAATGAACTTTGCCAAATTATACTTGTCGTTTATTAGACAATCTTAGCTTATACAGAAATAAAGATAAATGAGAATGTTTTTGCTCAAGACTGCCTTATTACGTTAGATTTTTAAAAAACTTTTATTACTAACTATTGAATTTGAATAAGAATAGATTTACTGTAAAAGAAGTCCTGAGCTTAATACTTTTTGGTTCTTGCATTGTGTTTGGGTCTGTTAACCATAATACGTTTTAGTTCATAGATCGTGGATTGTATTAATGAGTTTGGATTTATTAATAATAAATACTATCTTTACTCCACTTTACATATATCTATCTATTCGCTATATATTGAAATAAATTAATTCTTTTGTATATTTAATTTATAACTTTGTACGAAGTTTCTTTCATATTAAAAAGATGAATTTTTTTAAAATTATTAGCTAATTATCATGATCCTATATTTATAGATATTATTATTATTTAATATTCTAATACATATGCACTTCACTATTTTATTTATTTTATATATAAATATAATAACAATACCGATGTATATAAAAAATCTTTACTTATTTTATAGAAAGTTTTTCTACTTATTCACATTTATATTTACTAACTTTTTATATTGTTATATTTACCTATTCAATATCAGAGAGAGATTGTGACTGCATAATTACAACCTGTGGCCATATCTCAGATAATAAAGATAATAAAGAAAAATCGTCCAAGGTTGCTGAGTTAGTTTGTTGACACCATTGATTTAGACTTCGAGCTTGATTATTGGAGTGAATAGTTTTTTTATGTTTTACAAGCATGGCAGTAGTAGGAAAGTATTTATTACATATTTTGCAACATCGTCTTGAGTGATCTTCAGCTAAAAGAAAGGGAAGATGCGCATCATATGCAGGAATTTTTAGATTATTAAAATATTGAAGCATATGCATGGCATTAAGATAATGTCCATCCTTCCCTTTAGTCACTAGAGGTAAAAAACCATTACTTTTACCTAAAAATGCAGCTGCATCACTAGCTCATCTGGGAGTACAACAGGACAAATCATTACATTTTTTAATATCAAGAGAGTATCTGCAAATTTGACAATGAGATTCGATCCATGACCAAGGAACAAGTGAATCATTCTCTTTTAGATCTTGCATGCCTGTTTCTTTAGGTGTTGTAAATCTAACTTCAGTGCATAGATCGTTTTGCTCATCAACATACTCAACATAAACAGGTTTTCTATTAATAGGATCTTTTTTCCATAAATTCGCAAGAGTTTGACCAGCATGTTGAAAGTTATGAAGTCCTAATTTATAATTACAAACTTCACTATATGAGTTTAAATGATTTCCAAATTGATCAATTTTTAATATAATTCCAGTGATTTTTTCTAAAAGCATAGCCATACTTCTTTTTACAGGATTGTATGCTGACTGACCCGATGCATGTGTTCTGATTGTCAGGTAATCTAAGTCCAAAAACCAAAACAACTTACAATATTGATTAACATTTTTTAAATGATGAAGGTTCTCATCAGGTCCACCATTCATAATAATAACCCATAGAGGTTTAATCTCTCTGCTGCTGCTATTACTGTTGCTGTTGCTTCTACTATTGCTGCTGTTGCTGCCACCACTGCTGCTATTACCATTGCTGCTGCTATTACTGTTGCTGCTGTTGCTGCTGTCACTACTATTACTGTTGCTGCTGCTGTTGCTTCTGCTGCTATTGCTGTTGTTGCTGCTGCTGCTGCTTCTGTTGTTGTTGTTGCTACTGCTATTGCTGCTGCTGCCACCGCTATTGCTGCTGTTATTGCTGTTATTGCTGCTGCTTCTGTTGTTGTTGTTGCTGCTGCTATTGCTGCTGCTGCTGCTACTATTGCTGCTGTTATTGCTGTTATTGCTGTTGCTACTGTTACTGCTGCTATTGCTGCTGCTGCTGTTGTCACTGCTGCTGCCATTGTCACTGCTGCTGCTGTACTTAAAAATTGAAGAAAGATTTTCATTACTAACTAGAGATATAATATCTGTTATATGTGAGGCAGATGATAAACTAATATGCCATCGAGCTCTAATAAAGATTGCCAACTGTCCATGTTGTAATGATTCATTTGATTCTTTAAGATTTATCATTAAATAGACAGATGGTATTAGTTTTTGTGATGTGCCAACAGGAAAATCATGATCCAAAACAGATACTGGTTCATTGATAGATTGCATAGTCCAAAAGTGTTTTTCTATTGCTAGAATGCTGACTAAAACTTTTGCTTTATTATCTTGCAAGAGCACTATAGCAAAGTCAGCAAAAGTCAGAGCAAACTGTTTTGAATTTCTCACGAATGCAAGACAATAATGCTCATCCACATAATTCTTCTTTTCATCTCTTGAAATGCTGGCAATTCCAATAAAAGTGGGATGATGGTGGGTTCTAAAAGTCAAGCTACAGTTTGAACAAAGTAAAATGTAGTTTCTCATACTAGTATGAGACATATATATGTTGTAGTTGTCTTCTAAAGTATCTCGAAGATGCTGTATGGTTCTAACCTTAATAATTTTGTGTCTTCTTTGTGCATTAGCTTCCCTGAATTCTATACAATTGTGGATTTGATCATGAAGATCTGGATATTAAAAAAGAAGAGACGAGCACCTAGGAGAGTCATATCTTATAACAATACTTTTTTTATTAAGTGCTCTTAATTTTTTTTCTTGAGATTTTTGCTGATTAGATGCATGTCTTTTGAGTTTTTTAAGCCATTCTTGTTCTTCAGTAATATTCTTTTGAATTTCAGTTATTTGAAAGCTAAGGTTTCTAGAACACTGAGGGTTGGTTGCTATTGTGGCTATTGTTTTTAATTCTGTTAATTCTGCTTCTAATTTACTGATTGTTTCTACAATATTTTTTTGTGCAACTGCATTAGGGTGAATTGGTTCTATTGATTCTATTATAGAAGGAACTTGATGTTGGTGATTACTAGGTGAAGGATTAGAAGAAGGTTGGGGTTGCCTATGGGTTATGGAAGCTGTAATACAGCCATACAATTGTACTAAGGTATTTAAATATTCTCTAATTTTTGTTTTAATATTATCATTTTTTTTTTTTTATAGAGTGCCATTCTGTGGCTGCCTCTTTGCATAATATCTCTTTATTTATATCTAATGTTCCAGTTGATACCATTTTATAAAAAACATAAGCATTAACAAAACGTTGATATATGTTTTGAGAATTTAAATACACATATTTTTTGTCAAATTTTGGCACAGATAAAAAGGTTTGCATTGTAAATTTTATGTTTTAATAAATAATCTTGAACTTTATAAATATTCATGTTAATAATAATTATTTATAAAATAGTAGGAAACTTGTATTAAGTTGTGTAGCTAATGCTCGCATCATGGCTCTACTGGATTATATTAGGATTTTTGTACCTGCGAGTTTCGAATTATAATTGTATTATATGAACCTATGTGCGTGCATTAACTTGGAAGTAAAGTAAAAATATGCTATGTGAAAAATTAATTTAGATGTAATACTTCTAAATTAATTCTTTCGCACAGTATATTTTTACTTTATTTTCAAGTTAGTGCACATGCATAGGTTAGTACAATACAATTATAATTCGAAAGTCGCAACTACAAAAATTCTAGTAAAATCAAGTAACAATATCTAACCATATTTGTTCCAGTTACATTTCTCACCTTTGCAGATTTTTGATAACAAATGAACGTTTTATGTTCCCTAGGTTGGTTCTGGTAAAGGTAGGAGTGCAAGTAGAAATTCTGGAATTTTTGTTATTATATAATGTTCTCTTAAAGTCTTTAATGTTTCAGTAGCTTTATCTTGTTGAGTAATAGGTAAGTTAAGATTTGCTGTATCTACTTCTTTTGTGTTTAGTTCTTCTTGTATTTTTTCTAGTGAGTTTTGAATTTATCCTTTTTCAACTTCAATTTTACTAAAATAACAATAACCAACATTACATGTTTCACTAGCATTTACTATCTTTGCAAATTTTTGAACATGACCTGGCCTTCAATTTTACAGGTCATATGAGAAGCACCACTTGCAGCAATTGTTGCTGGCAAATCGGTACTGGATCTACATATAGTGTCATTGCTTAATTCTATATTGCATATTTACGTATTGTGCATATAGAACATTAATGACACCACCCACATGATCTGTAAAATCGAAGGCCACCCTGGTCATATTGATATTTGATAATAAATAAGTGGAGTAGAGCTTACATTGTATAAATTATTTATTATAATATATTGATAAGAAGAACAAGAATTCTCAAGCTATTTAATCTCTATATTTGAATGCTATTTCAATTCTGAACAATTTAGTGAGAGATGCATCAATATTTTATTCAATTTTATATGAAGTTCAATTGGGCTAAATAATCTGAATATATAATATAATAAGTTATTTTCTAATAATACTACGTACTATATTTTGTAGTTCTCAGAATATGATATGCAACAGAAATTGATAAACAAATATATACAAAGTACGATTTGGAACTACTTCGTGTTTTATTTAGAAGAATTGCTTATCGCAATTATTTGTTGATCTGTGTAAGTGAAATTTTACTTATATATTACAATGCATAGTTGGTACAAATAATTTTAATAGATAAATGATATTAACGAGTTTTTGTTCGAAACAAGAAATAAGATTTGTCCAATTACTAGTCTATATCGTGGTAACAAAAAATATGATTATATGGGTTGTTGCCTAGCAAAACCATGCTTAGAGTATATATTTTTTATATATTCTAAGCATGGTTTTGCTGAACAACAACCTATATGTAATTTTGGATTTGTAAGTTATTAGATTGTTACTGTAATATATCTGATTTTTGAAATATATAGGCGCATTGATAAATATACATATGCCTACTTATTATTGATAAATTTGAGGGAAGTCAGATTCTCAATAAGTTGAATGAATGAGTATAAAAATGTATGATGTAACAAAATATTTTTTTCATCCTGGTATATTCCATTGTCATCACTTATAACTGGCACACATACTAAACTGGTTTAAGCTTGATATACACTGCATTAATACATAGCATTTTTGAGCTAATGCATTTAGTAATACTATTTAGGGTAAATTCTTGGAAGATCCAAATAGATACTTTTAAAATCCGATTGTTTTAAATATTGAGTAATTATTAGTGACAAATATGTGCAGGCTTGAATTTTAAATACTTGCCTACTAAATTAATTATGATATTGACTCTAACTAGACCATATAGGAAGACTTTCTTGTGATTGGCTGATCATATAAATTGAATATCATGTCATAACTGGTTACTTTGCCAACTGATTAATCAAAAAAGTTTATGTTATAAGCTATATAATACATTAATATTAATTTTTATATACTGCCTAGATACTGTCTAGAAATCTTGAATTTATATAATACATGGCAACCCTATTAAAAATCAACTAAAAATTATAATGAATGAATTTTTTTTATTAAATGTAAAGCATAGTCTTAATCTTCTATAACACATAATTAAACTATCTTAAATATAGACAATAAATGAATAAAGTATGTATAACCTATTTATTATTTAAAAAAGATAAATAAATCAACGTAAGTTTTTAATTGTATCCTTAAATAATACTAAAAGCCTCCGATCTGGGCATTAACTAAAATCTTAACAGATATATTTATTATACATTACTATCTTTCTGCTTAAGAACTGTCTCTACGTAAAGTATACCCAGGTAGAGTGAATCCCAGAGATATACAAGATATTTAAAGTTTTATTCGTAAAGAGTTTGTCCATAGTATTATAAATGACAGTTAAAAGAACTTTACTATACTGGAGAAAAGTACTCTAAATTGTATAAATTCTGATTGTATAAAATTGGCCAATTATGAGAAAGTCCTATACCAAGGTCTCTATATACCTTTCATCAGTTTTATTATCTTTCATCAGTTTCGTCACCTTTTGTTAGTTTCATAGTTTCGTCACCTTTCATCAGTTTCGTAGTTTCGTCACCTTTCATTAGTTTCGTCATTTCAATTTTTTTTTGACAAAAGACGAAACTAGGTTTCGACTTTCATCAATGACGAAACCCTTAGGTTTCGTCTAACAATATTAATTGCAGTATTATATTATTTTAGCACAATAGCATTATGGTATTTAGATACAATACTGCAATAGCATTATTGTATTTTGACATAGTGGCATTACAGTTATGCTATTACGGCATTATGATTATGGCATTACAGTTATGGCATTACGGCTCAAAGAAATTATGGAAAATAATATGGCACACGCCATAACTGTGTTAATTTGTTAAATGAATTCTACTACCAACTATAGTTTAGACTATAGGTTGGAAAATATAAAGCTTAATTTATTTATATTATTATAGGAAGAATTAGAAAAATTTTAAATAGAATAAAATGCATGTAATTTATTTGTATTTGATTCTTTATATTAATATATATAAGTATTTATATAATTTGATTAGTAGGGGTGTGGCGACCTAGTGAAGTGGTCAGGTTGTCAACCCCCAAGTGGCAGGTCTAGAGTTCAAATCCCATGGATGACGAATTTTGGAAAATAAGGTCTGTATTACGGTAACTGTCTCTGTCGATCGGTTGGATTTGTGTATCTGTAACCTTTGTTGCACCATCTCGAATGGGAGCTCGGGGCATCTATGCAAAGTGTAATGTTACACCCACATAGAGGAATGATGTTGCATAAGACTTCGGTGCAAACCCACGATAAGACCACTGGGCATAGAAAGCAAAGGAACCGAAGAGTTGGAAACCCACTTGGAAATCCCGAGTAAAGAGGTAGCATGGACTTTCGACGGTACTACCAAACCATCAGAAGCCTCCAAAAGAAGGATTACTAGGACCTTGGATGGATCGGATGACAACATGTGTAGAGGAGCACATACCAATCAGGCTACCGAGTTCGCCAGATGGGCCATCTGGATTGGTAGTTTGGGAAGTCTTATGGGTCTTGTAGTTCTGAGAGTAGGGGTGTGGAAGTTGGGAAAGGAAGGTATCAGGGTTCCTGTGAACTTTACAAGGGTATAGCGGTTTAATGGTTAGCCCTAACTGCAAGTGATGGTCTAGGCCAGAGCGATACTGGATCAGCTGTAAGTATGGAATACGGAAGACTCCGATGGGCTTAGTATAAAGTTAAACATAACTTAGTGACCATGGTATATTTGCAGCAATGGCTGCAGTTGATAGGGTAGGAGTGGATACGGGAACTAGAGTGTTTAAATAGAGAACACACAGGCGGGTTCTAGGTATGGCAACTAGTGTAGAACCTTCAGGCGGACTACTTAAAATAGACAATGACTAAAGTTG